CGGATACTGAGGAACACTGGTGACAGCTGTGGCTTTGGTGGTCTGGTGCACAGGTCATCCCAGCTCTGACATTTCTGCTTTGCCCTCTGAAATGCATTCACCATTGAAGACCACACTATTGGGAAGAGAGTGCCCTGCACTGTGACACATCTCAGGACTGTTTATTGTCCATGACCCTCTGTACCACTGAGGTGGTATACAGCCAGAGTCCTCCATGCTGGCCATTGTCAGGATCTTTGCTGACTCTTATTTTTGCTTCTCTGCCACGTTCCATGTTTGCTGACGTATTATCTAAAGAGCATGAATGTGGTGTGACAGCTTGGCTGTGAAGGGGTAAGGGTCTGGTGCTGGTAGACCTATGACTTGAGAGCACTTTATTTTCTGCTTGCTGTTAAGTTTGAACCCATGAGCTATCCAGAGCCACAGAAGCAGTGAGTGAGGCCTTCCCAGGCTTTTCATGCTCAACCTGCTGTTGAGGTTTGCCTGATACTTGATCTTGTTTGGTACCAAGGTGGGGCCTATACCACATGGATAAAGAGCTGCCTTTGGGTCTTTTGTCTTTATGATCACATTAGGATCACCATGTTTCCTTTGGTGTTACTCTAGCAAACAGGATAGGGTGGGCTGTTTCATGTTCCAGGATTTATTAGGAGCTCCTCAGTAGGAATTAGGAGTGGGATGGATGCTTTGACTGACATGGCAATGACCTTGTCCTTACCACCCAGCTTCACTGATGTGGGCACTGAAGACTTTAGGACAGTAGCATGGTGAGGATAGCCAGATGATGGACAGGCTGCACCTGCCTTCATGTAAGCCAGAGTGACTTTTGGAGTTGTTTCTGCCTCCAAGAGAAATGGGACTATTTTTTGTAAATTCAAGTTAAGTGGATGTTAATGTATCATGTGAGCTAAATGCTGATCTTGTGAAGCAGAGCAGAGCCCTTGTATCTGTTTTCCAGTCTCTGATGTAAATGGGTGCAAACAGTGCCAGTGGCATGCATGGTTTTACATTGTAGTGGTCGTGAAAGCATTCAGTGAGGCATAGCAGGCTGGCATTGGTCATCAGCATGTATCAACTGTATACATTCCTTTTCCTTTTGCCTCAGTTTCCACGGGCTCCCTTGCTCAGCAGTATGCACATCCTAATGCTACCCTGCATCCACATACACCCCATCCTCAGCCTTCGGCTACTCCCACTGGACAGCAACAAAGCCAGCATGGTGGAAGTCATCCTGCACCCAGCCCTGTTCAGGTAAGGAGAGTGTGGCCTGTACATGCCCTGCTGCTTCCTTGTCCTGCCACTTACAAGTCTGTGTGATCAGCAGGTGTGAGGCAGCCATCCTTATGTAGCTTCAGGGGAGGCCTTGGAAGTGTCAAGTAAGCCATACCCTAAGGGTACGTGCTGGAAACACGAGTGTGGAAAAGCTATTTTAGCTTAAAGTTCTTTGTTAAGTCTAAAGAACTGCCTGGAATTCCTGAAGCCACTCAATAATGCGCTTCTCCCCCCCTCCCCTCCTACACCCCCCCCCACCCCCAGTGTAGTAGTTCTGACTATCCTAGAACTCATTTTGTAGACCATACTGGCCTCAAACTCAACACAGATCTGCCTGTGCCTCCCAAGTGCTGGGGATTAGAGGTGTGTGCCGCCGCTGACACCACTGAGCTGCCTGTTGGCTTCTTTATTCAGCTTAGCTAGTGGGGCAGTTGATAGCCTGGCATCTTGTCAGTTGCTTCACCTCTGCTTGTTTGTACCTGTGACTGCCAGGCTGAGACTGGGGCTTGAGAACCCAGGAAAGACCATCTGGACAGGAGATGCCCTGGATGCTCTTCTTCCTGCATCGCCCAGGCATGATGGGATGGGGTGGGACTTCTGCTGTCTATAGTGTGTGAAGCTCTGACCCTAATGGCTTCTCAGTAAAGAAGTTTCCCATTGCTTTGCAGCACCATCAGCACCAGGCCGCCCAAGCTCTTCATCTGGCCAGTCCACAGCAGCAGTCAGCCATTTACCACGCGGGGCTGGCACCAACCCCACCTTCCATGACACCTGCCTCTAATACACAGTCTCCACAGAGCAGTTTCCCAGCAGCACAACAGACTGTCTTCACCATCCATCCTTCTCATGTTCAGCCGGCATATACCACCCCTCCCCACATGGCCCACGTACCTCAGGTAAACCAGCATTAGCCATGTAGGGTGCGGTGGTTGTCAGATAAGCAGCAAGGAGCCAGATGCTCCCCAAGCCAGGAACCCCTGTGTGTGGTGCCATCTGCCTGTCTCCCCCTCCCTGCTTAGTATGTGATCTCCTGGCCCTCAGTGAATGTTGCTATGACTTTGTGATGGGATCAGTGAAATTGTGACTTAGCATTTCCCAGCTGAGACCTTAAAACTCTTGAGTCTGGAATGCACCCCAGTCCTTTCCTTTCTGTGTCTGCTTTGCTCCGTCTATCTAGCTTAACCACTATTATGTGTCTATGTGTACACACACAGACACCTCTACACACACACACACACACACACACACACACACACACACACACACACACACACGGGAGCCTGGCAGGGATGGTAGGCAGGGTTTCAATGGTTCTCAGCCTCTGAGGTGACTGCACTAGGCCTGTTAACTTGAATTTTAGTCACACGAATTCCGAGACGTGTCTCAGTTGTTTGCCTGGTTACCCTCTATCTGCTGCAATCCTGTGTTGTGCTTCCTGAGCTCTTGGCCTTGGACTATGGTGCAGTGTAACTGAAGCTCCAGGGCAGCCCAGGGCCAAGGAGACCTCTATGGCTCTTAATGTGAGGTGGCTGCATCAGGTATCTCTGCTACTTTGATCGCAGCTCCCAGAGGCAGGTCTCACTTAGGGTTACTGAATGACTCCATTTCCTGTCACCGTGCGCCAGTGAGGCTCTGGCAAGGTGTGAGCTAGAGATGCTGTGCAGTTGGGTCTCTTGCAGAAGGCTAGTTTGTTACTAGGTGTCCTTTCCCCAGAGCTAAGGGTCTGTAGGATAGACTCCTGTTGATTGGCTGGTGACAGTGGGGAGGGAGCCAGTTTGGTCACTGTGCTTTGGTGGAGTGGAACTTAGAGTCAGGGTCCTGTAAGTGTCTAGCAGAGGCTGCGAATTAAGATGGGCTCTTCCCAAACCTCAATTGTGTGTTTGTGTAGAAGAGTAAGAAGCTAACTTAGGGAAAGCAGAGAGCCATGGGCCTGTTTGAACGTGTGAACCAGCACTTCGCTGGGGTGATGGTCTAGAGCAGTGCACAGGATGGGAGGCAGGAAGCAGCCTCTTCCTGCTCTGCCCACTCCCTGCAGAACCAAGGTCGGGCTCACCGGCCGGTCAGCCAACATCACTTTTCTAAGTTAAACTTGTTGCCACTTGGTGCAGTGCACCAGGCTGACCCAACTTCAGATCGTTCTCATCTTATTGGAGCCACTAACTGCGCCATTTGCTCCATCAGCCAAGCTTTTAGAGTGAGGGGCCTAAGTGCTGCTTCACCCTATTTCTGGAGCACCTATGGCGACTTGGGGAGGGCAGAAGAGGAAAGACTCAGGAAGCTAAGGGTGCTGGGGAGGCAGTCTCCACAGGCCTTTCCTTGTCAGTTGCTTTCTGAATTGAAAAGGACATTGATGTCTTTGGCCCCGTGCCATAGCAAGTTAAGTACGTGCCCCTCCCTCCCCAATAGAGGCCTGCTCTTGGTGAAGACCTTCCCTTTGTGATAATCTGTGAGCAGACACTGGGGACTAGGAGGTTGTGGCCAGCTTCCCCATCCTACCCCTACAGGATCTGCCTCAAGGACTCCATCTTGCCCCTTCTTGAGTCCCAGTCCAATGAAAGGAACAGTTGACTTGTTGTTTAAGACGGAGATGTTGCCTGTATGCGTAAAAGAGCTCTCTGTTTCAGGCTCATGTACAGTCAGGAATGGTTCCTTCTCATCCAACTGCCCATGCGCCAATGATGCTAATGACGACACAGCCACCCGGCGGTCCCCAGGCCGCCCTCGCTCAAAGTGCACTACAGCCCATTCCAGTCTCGACAACAGCGCATTTCCCCTATATGCACCCTTCAGGTGAGGCGTGTGTGTGCAGGGGCCGCCGGGGCACCCCGAGCATTCTGCTCCTATACAGGTAGAATGGCAGGCAGGCCCAGTGCTTCAGGCTCCAAAACCTGATTAGCAAGGCCCGTCCGAGTGTTCGCAGGACGGATTGTGATGGTCAGGGAGCATCAGGGCTCAGGGCCTCCGGAGCTGAGTCTGTGTGTGTTCTGCTGGTATCAGGGTTGGCTTGAGAAGCAGCAGCCTCATTCTGGGTAGCTGATGCATGCCGAGGACTCAGTTGGCCTTCCTGGTTATGTATGACAGGCTGGACAGGGCAAGCGTGTTCCTTCCTGAGTCCCTATAGGCTGATGTGGGGGGTTTATGCTCATGGCCGAGTTTGATTGTAGCTTGGAGAAGAACACTGATGAGCTGTGTGCGATCTGGTTTGAGTGTAGCTTTAGCCCCAGCCTGTGCCCTGACACAGGACACCCATGATGTCTCGTACTGGATGGCTGCTGTGGCAACACCTGTCTCCCCTGTGACTTGGAAAGTATTGGTGGCTTGGCTAGCATTAGTGGGAGGGGGTGTGAAGGCCTGTGCTCCTGCCCCACAAGCAGCAAGTCCAGGACTTGTATCTGAAGTGGTTTTACGTCTGACTGGTTTGTTTCTCCTCACCCCTCTTCCCTCCCCAACCCCACCTTGGCTGCAGCTGGGGGGGAGGGGGCGCCAGCATTAACCCTCCAGTGTTACTCTCAGCTAGCAGGAGAGTGGTTGAGTCATGTGCTGCAGACACCAGGCTGGTGGGCCGTGGTGCCTGTGTTCCGTTTAAATAGCCACTTTTCTTTTTTACAGTACAAGCCCACCACCAACAGCAGTTGTAAGGCTGCCCTGGAGGAACCGAAAGGCCAAATCCCCTCCTCCCTTCTACTGCTTCTACCAACTGGAAGCACAGAAAACTAGAACTTCGTTTATTTTGTTTTTTACAAAGATACAACACTGATTTAACATCCGATAGGAATGCTAACAGTTCACTTGCAGTGGAGGATGTTTGGACCGAGTAGAGGCATGTAGGGACTTGTGGCTGTTCCATAATTCCATGTGCTGTTCGCAGGGTCCCGCAAGTACCCAGCTCTGCTTGCTGAAACTGGAAGTTATTTATTTTTTAATGGCCCTTGAGAGTCATGAATGCATCAGCTAGCAAAAGAAGTAACAAGAGTGATTCTTGCTGCTATTACCGCTTTAAAAAAAAAAAAAAAATCAAGACTTGGAACGCCCTTTTACTAAACTTGACAGAAGTTCAGTAAATTCTTACCGCCAAACTGACGGATTATTATTTATAAATCAAGTTTGATGAGGCAATCACTGTCTACAGTGGTTCAACTTTTAAGTTAAGGGAAAACTTTTACTTTGTAGATAATATAAAATAAAAACTAAAAAAAAATTAAAAAATAAAAAAAGTTTTAAAAACTGATACCCAGCAGTGTGTGTTTGTGGCGACTCCTGCTGCTGTGGGGTGCAGACCCTAGGCAGGCAGGCTGGGTGTACTGCTCCAGTCTCCTACTGGAGGAGGTGCTAACCAATGACTTTTCTTTTTCACCTTCAGTTCTGGCTCAAGATATCTAAAGTCAAGACTGAGATTCCCTCTTGGGTGGATTAGCAGTTGGCTTCACCAGGAGGAAGGCTGGCCAGAGAGGTGGGGGCCATCAAAAGTCTGTATCTGCAAGCTCCTTTTTCTTCCCCCTGTCTCCAGACTTAATGTGATATCCCAGTTCAGCCTGTGTTACCAGCAGGGGGCAGGAGATAACTTCTTTACCAGTCTGAAGGTTTGTCCTTAGTAGCTGAGTGCTTGTTAGTAGCATAGAGCCCTGGTTCCTTCCCTAGGAGAGCTGGGAGGGGATCCAGAGAACAGGAAAACCAGAAGAACAGAAGTTTGCTATAAGGGGAAGGTAAGTGGAGAGGGAGTTGGTGATGCAGAGAACATGGTTGTAATTCTGAAAACTTTAATTCACATAAAGCAATTTGTACATTATAGCAAAATTTGCATTATTCAAGAATAAGTTACTCATACAGTACGTAAAACAAAGATTTGCCAAAATACCTTCTGCCTTTTATGATTGATAGAAGATGAAATCCCATCTGTTGTCTGTTAGATGCATCTTCATTAGGAGGCAGTAGATGACAGCTTGCACTAAGGTAACATTTCAACAAGAGCCCTCAGGGAAGAGATGAGCCTTCTTTTAGGTTAAGAAACTTATGTAAAAATAGTGTTGTCTGGCCCAAAATTGTAATGATCACGATTCCTTTTTCCTACGGTCCAGAAATGATCAAAGGCAAGAGGAAGAGTTATACCAGATAAAGCCATATGGACTGCTGGTCTAAAGTCAAGGCAGGTTAGTTGACTTCATTCTTTGGTGCTGGTGGCTGTTAGTGTGTAGTTGTAGTCAGAAGGAAGCAATGGTGTGGGACTGATGAGCTACACTTTCAGTCTCTATAGGGCCAACTCAGTGCCTAGTGTGGCCTCACCTGCCGGTGGTGATCTGTCAGGACGACTGGGGACTGGGGATGGTGCTGCCTGGCAATCACACTGTTGAGGGCATCTGGCCTGGGGCCTCACAGCCACCTATTCCCCTTCAGCCAACTGGACCTACTGTAGCAGAAAGAAAGGGCGGCACCTTACTGCCTCTCTATCTCAGAGCCATGAGAAGAACTTGTCTTAAAAATACACCTTTTGAAAGGAAGCCGTCTTAAAAATACACCTTTTGAAAGGAAGCCGTCCTCCCGTATGTCCACAGTGGGTGAGTCCCAGCACCATGTGGAGGTGCTGGTTTACAGTGTGTGGCCAGTCTCCCTCCTACTTAGAGCTGTGTGTCTGACGAGCCCAGGAGAAACGAATACCCCTAGTTTGTAGGGGCAGAGATACAACTGTCCAATCAGCTCCTTTCCAGGACTACATAGCTTTGAGATGAGTCTGGACCAGTGGCTGAATATTGCTTTTATCTTTGGTTCAAACTTTTTGGGGAAAGTGAAGGAAAGCTAGTTTTCTTAAAGATGGAACACAAATCTGCACCTATGTAGGATATGCCTTGCTCTGTGAACACAATTGAGCACAGCTAGCTGCTCTCCCTGTCCACTAAGGGCCACACAAGCTTGCCCAGTACAGAAGTTAACCAGATGAGAAGGGTATCAGTATGTTTGCCTCTGATGAACATGTTTAAGAATTAAGTTGTAATTCTCTACTGCTACAGCTGTGAACCTAAAAGTCTGTACCGACTGGCACCTTTGAGCTCAGGAGCAGCCCACTCTCTAGCCCCTGTGATAGATGGAGAAGTCATGTGTACAGGGCACACTCTTCCACCAGTGACCGCCTGTGGCAGGAGTGTAATGGAGCCATACTCAATAAGCCATTGCATGCTTGAGGTGGGGGTACGGGCAGGGGCAAGCTATAAATTTGGGTTCACTACACAGGCCCAGGCACCTATTCATCCCATCCTCTCTAAAGCTGCTGTAAACCAGAGTCCTGTTTTGTTTTGTTGTTTTTGTTTTTGTTTTGTTTTTTTTTTTTTTTTAATGCATAAGGCACTGGGAATGGAATGTCCCTTGCCACCCTCCTCTCTCTGCAAGCTGCCTGGATTTCCCTGAAAGGGTGACACACTTCATTCTCTACATTAGGGAGGACAGTGGCTACCCCGTATAGCAGGCAACCATCCTGAGGAGGAGCAGACAAGGACACTAATGTGCTGGCTGAGAGTAGCTGAGGGAACCAGATGTGCTTAGCTGCCCAGACTTGAATGTCACGGGTCCTAGTAGGGCAGTACAGGGAGATAAGCCGTGATTTCATATGGAAACCTGAATCCCTTTAAAAAAAAAAAAAAAAAAAAAATCAATCTGAGGTAAGATGTTTAGAATTTTTGACTTTTCAGCCTGTCCCTCTGGCAGAGCTTCTGTCTAATGCTAAGAGTACAAGCAGGATTGAGAAGCATCTATCACCTGTGGGGCTGAAGCTACAGGGAGGAGGGAGACGGGGCCTTGTTAGTGTTTTGTGCTTCCCGACGACCCTACCTGGTAGGAAGTTTGTCATCAGCTCTGACGGTCAGTTTCCACTGCCAGCTCTGGGCCTGTGGCCCCATTCCTGGGTTGGGGACTGGGCCTAGGGTACCATCTAGTGGCACCTGTGCACAAGAACTACATCTGTAAACAGTGGGAGAAAGGCCAGGCTCTAGCTGTGGCTGACAGGGGGCCTAGGGCAGCCTGGTGGAGGGCACGTCTGAGCTGGGGAAGGCTTACTGCAGCCTGTAGCTCTCTGGGGGAAAGGATGATGGTTACATTCACAAGTTTGCATCCCTGCACAGCTGTGAGAGGGGGGTGTACTGGTTGTCAATGGCCCGAAGGTGGCTCCGGGAAGAGGAGTCCATCCCATAGTCTGAGTCCCGGGCACTGCTCACAGGCTCCAGTTCCAGGTGGCGCAGACTGTTGGCCAGTTCCTCAGGAGAAGGCACCAAGTGGAAGATTTGCTCTGGTGGTGTCACTCGGCCAGGGGGAGCCTCTGCGCCAAGGCTGGGGGGACAGCCAGCAGAGTTGAGGTGGGAAAGACCCAGCTCCGAGTCCCAGCGAGGAAGGGAGAAAGGGAAGAGGACCGTGTTGGAGGAACCTGGAGAGGTGACATGGATGAGTCTGGACAGTGATGAAAGTGGTCTGGTGACACCACCCCTTGACAAAACTTGGGGACTCCTACCTGGTGCTTGGGAGACGACTACCACATAGCCAGAGAGCCGGACATCACAGGCTGCTCCACACTCAAGTGGGATGGGGGAGCGCTGGAAGTGGCGGAGCATGTCCACCACCGAGGGAAAGTGCAGATGCTGCACACGGCACTGTCCACGCTCTGTGAGCACCAGACGGAGGTGCTGTGGAAAGGGCTGAAGGTCAACCTGCTGCCCAGGCTACATTTCCTCCCACCCAAGCCCACCAGTTCCTGCCCCTACCTTGGCTCTGCCCTGTAAGTTGAATGTGAGCACATACTCCCCTCTCCTGGACTCACTCTGCCGCACCAGGAACACACCGTGGGCATCAGGGCCCTGCAGCTGAACCAGCTGTGCAGCTCTTACCCTGGAGATAGGGCCATGGAACCAGGGGTAGCAGGACAGGAAGTGGTCTGTTTTCTGGCAGGCTGGGTCTAACACTGCCCCAGGTGAAGCACCTAGCAGAAAGATGGTGGTAGTAACATTCATGGTGGCCACCGTGTCCAGGACACCTGGAGGTCAAGGGTCTGGCACATACCTTGGTCCAGGGAGTCTGTGCTTCCTCTTGGAGAGCTGGCTGGGTCAGGCTCTGCCATGAAGGAAAGGGGTAACTCTGTGTCCATGTGCTCCAGCCTGTAGGGGGAAGAGGCTGGGTGAGGAAGGAGCCAGCAGGGAGGATCGGCGCTTGGCTGGGCAGGGGCAGGCCTCACCCTTGGCCTGTGCTTGTTCTGAGCTCTGCCAGCCATGAGTTCAGCTGCTGTTCATCTCCCACCTCAAAGATGATGTCTGTGTGGTCCTGCACCTGCAGAGAGGTAGCACGCAGCTCTATGTCTGTATGCATGTTGTATGAGAGGGCAGCATCTCCCAGGAAACCACAGCCCAGCACTCACCTTGAGCACAAAAGTATAGAGGTTATCGGGCATCTCCAGGCGTGTGCATGGCCGGACTTCCCGGATGCTGGAGCATGCCTCTTGGAGCTTGGGCTTTGAACTCTAGGAAGAAGGGGTGGGGTCGTCACTCTAGGTTAGCCCATATAGCTCCCCGCCGCCCTCCCCCCAGGCCTCTCAGGGTGTCTGCAGTCTCTTTCAGTTCTAGAAGAAAGAGGTACAGTAACACCCTTGTGTACGAGTCAATGCAGTGCACTTGGCTGCATAACATACCTGGGAGATGCCACCTTTCTGGGTGTGGCTAGCACCACAGATGCCAGTTCCCATGTCAAAGCCTGAGACCTCATAGGAGGGAAACCCTCCCCTTGCTTGCCATCTAGTCCTTTTTTCCTCTGGTGATGAGATTGTTCTTGATGGCTGCTTCCAGCAGAAGCTAACAATCTACTGGGAGAGCCGGAAAGTGTTTTTTTGTCCCAGGATAGAGTACCAGGTGCTCCAATCAAATACATCAGAGCCCAAGAGCCCATGCTTACTCTGCTTCTTGCCCTGTCCCAGCTTAAGACAGAAAGATTCATCCCAGTGTCATCAACTTTGCCACTTGCCTGTTACAGGAGTGAGGAGGACCTGCTGGAGATGGGCCAAATGGGCAAGACAGGATTCCTACTCCTGTCCATAATTCCTGTATGCTAACCAGACCTTTTTTTGTGGCTGTTAGGATGTTCAGTGTCAAATCTCGTAATTGCATTTCCACAGTGATTCTGTCTGTATAATCCTAGCAATGATACAACAGAAAGGAGCCAGAGTTCAGGAGCCCTGCCACTAGCCACCTCCAGCCATCTGGGAAATGAGAGGGTGACACACTAGTGCCAGGGCTGCCTCTGAGGTCCTTTTGTTGATTTCTGGTCACTTTTTGATTTCTGGTCACTTTTTGGGGGTGTGGGGGAGTTCAAGACAGGGTCTCTCTGTAGCTTTGGGGCCTGCCCTGAAACTCGGCTCTGTAGACCAGGCTAACCTGGAACTCACAGAGATCTACCTGTCTCTGCCTCCCGAGTGCTGGGATTGAAGGCGTGCAACACCACGCCAACCACATTTTCTGGTCACTCTTAAAGCCACACAGTTTCATGTATCAAGAGACAGCAAGGATCTTCCTGATACCCAACAGTATCTTCAACAGACCTTTGGGGCCCTGAAGCCACCTCGCCCAGGAAGCCTGTGGCTGCCCTGAAATCCTGACAAGACAACCATGAACTTCTGTAGAAGCCTGAGGGGACCATGACAATGGCCTTCTTCGAAGACTATGCCTACCGAACCGCCTCAATCTCACAGCAACTCCCAGCCTAAAGCCTGGCTTCTACTACTACTGTGTGACCTGAGGATAGGATGTAGGCTTTGGGGCAACTGAGTCCTGCCATTTGTGACTATTCTTCCACCCCCAATGCCATCCTAGAGCCTGGTATGGTGGAGGCAGGAGCTTTGGGCTAACCTCCAAAATAAAAATAAAAACACAAATATCCTACTTTGTTCCAAAATAGATTCCAGTCAGATTACAGAGACATCTGGGAGCCAACCAGATGAGAAATCAGTCCGACAGCAGACTATTGAGGGCGTTCATTTTCCTGACTCTGTCCTCTTTCTTGGACCTTATTCCCATTCTGGGCTACTTAGGATCAAGTAAGAAAGTCTGCAATTTCAGATTCATGACACCTGACAGCCAGGCTTGGACTTGCTCTACTAGCCATCGCCCACCCCACCCACCCCACATGTTCCCTACAGGTCAGTCAGATTAAGCACAAAGGCTACTTGGCAAAGAGCTCCGCCCCAGGGCAGCAATCCTGGGTGGGCACAGTGTGAGCTTTAGCAGCATGTTCCAGAGTGGCCCCAGAGGCCAAAAACCAATGGTCACACAATAGTCAAAGTAGCGATGGCTAGAGAAGGCATCCTCAGCACTGGGTGGGACACAGTCTACCCAGCAAAGTGCTTCCAAGGGATGGGGTTAAGTCCAGAGTCAAGGCAAATTAGATGTTGAGGTTCTCAGGAAACATTAAGGCTGAAAAGGGATGAACCCTGAATCCTAAAGAATTTCATCTCAGAGAAGACTGTAGACAGTTGTTCTCCAGGTGACAGGACCAGACTGTGACATATAAAGGGCATGTAGGTCAGCAACAGACGATACAGTACAGCTAGGGTGGCAGAGGCTTGGCTTGCCTCACATGCAGGAGGCCCTAGTTCAGTCCCCAGCACCCAAAAAAGCAGGAATGGCACAAATTTCATTAGGATCAGAAATTCAGGTCGTCCATGACTCAATCTTGAGCTCAGGTACAGAGAAACAAAAATCATAGCCTGCTGAGACCTAAAATACAGAGGAGGCTGGGGGTCTAGCTCAGATCCTTGCCCATCACGTCATTAGGCCCGCCAAAGCAGGGAAACAAAATCCACAGAGTAGATAGGGCACAGACTGCTGAGAGAGGCACAGTCCTCTCCATTGAGATATCCTGCAACTAGACAGTTGTACAATTGTGTAGGCATGCTAAAAACCAATGTATTGTTCACTTCAAGCAAGAAAATGTTATGGTATAGGAACAAAACTTTAAAGAGGGAAATGGCAGGCAGCTGGATGTGGCGGTTCACACCTTTAATCCCAACACTGGGGATTAAAGTCGGGTTCTGTTGGAGGCAAGCCTGGTCTAAACAGAGAAACCCTGTCTCAAAAACCAAAAAAACAAACAGATGCCCAGTCAGGCTGGAGAGAGAGAGAGTTCAGCCATTAAGAGCACTTTGTGTTGAGGTTAGAGATGGCTCAATGGTCAAGAGTACTAGCTGCTCTTCCAGAGGACCTGGGTTCAACGCCCACATGGCAGCTCACAACTGCCAACACACACAGACAAACATGAAGGTCAAAGAGAAAAAGCACTCTGTGCTGTCCCATAGTACCCAAGTTCCTGGCACCTACCTGGTGACTTCACAAGCACCTTCTGATCTCTAGAGGTACCAGAACACACATACACAGCCATATAATAAAAGCCAAAAGGTGGGACAGTTCCAGGTTAGTGTGAGATACACAGCATAAAGGGGGGAGTGGGGTGACAAGATGGTACATAGTGCTGGTGCCACTGGGTAAAGGACACAGCAGAGCATTGGACTGGGGATGGTCACTGACCAGTTCTGGCTCGGGCCCTGACAGCTACAGCCAATATGGGAGATGTGGCCTGAGTAGTCATCGAGGATACCTGTCTGTGCTCTTGTGGGAATACCACATGTCATTTTGCAGCTCCTCAAAATGTTAACCACAGAGTGAACAACCTACTAAACACATTGAACAGATGTTCAAAGCATTGTTTGCCAAAAGTGCAAGTGGAAATGGCCTACTTCCCACTTATGAATCGGAGTGGCAGGGGGTGCTAAAACGATACAAGGGACTATTACTTGGCTATTAAACAAGATAGCTAGGTGTGGCAGCAGACACTTTTAATTCCAGCACATGGGAGACAGAGGCAGGTGGAGGCATTTTAAGGCCATGTGCCTGTTTTGGTGCCACAGCACCTATCTCTTCCAGGAGGGGGCTCTGTCCATTCATCCTAGCCTTAGCCAGAGGGAAGAGAGGAAGGAGGGCCCTAAGTCTGCCCAGGAGGCCATTCTGGAGCCCTTCTGGAGCTTTTGCTTCCTTTTCCATTGACAAAGCAATGGGCTGGGGATTTCCCCACTGTGGCTGTCAGACTACTAACTGGGGAGGGCACTTAGGGAACCCAGCTCTGGGTCTGGAGTTTTCTATGCAAGGAGTCTTTTCTGCCCCTCGGGATGGTAATACACCCCAGAGCACTTTGTCTATCATACTGAGAAACGGAATCAGAAGTCTACTTCTTCAGCCTGGACAGAAGCCAAAATATGAGCTCAGGCGTGCCCCTTCCCCCAGTGCCCTTAGCCGTGATCCACACTGAGCCACAACCCTGACTCCTTGGTGGCTTCATCCCCACAAAGCAACTGGCTGACTTCCATGAAGGGGGTGCCAGTGAGCTAATTGGCACCTCCCGAATCCCGAATCCAGGAATTCATGGCACTGGAGCTATAGAAGCCCAAGTGACAGTACTGTGACATCTGGATGTGGCTTCTGCAAGCAGGACTTGCTCTGCACATTTGGGGGGTTTAAACACAATCCCAACCTAATGTCCCCTACCAAATGCTCACACAACCCCATTCCTGCCGCATCCATCTGTAGCCTTGGACCAGTCTTCTTTGGGAGTTGATGTCATGATGGGCCCCACAGAGGGATTTTGGGAGGACTCTGTGGCAGATTCAGCTATAGTGGCTTGTCACAGGGAAAGCCACTAGGCCTATCTTTCAAGGGTCAAGTGCCTTTCCCATGGCTAGGCGGAGGTGGGGGTGGGGCTGTGGGACCACAGAGCCTGGAACCCAGCAGAGCTGGTGGGTACAGAATAGGGCTTCCTGCCACCTCCTCCCCAACCCAGAGGAAACCGCCAGGCCGGCAGTGGCCAGCCCTTTCTTTCTGCTTCCTCTTTCCCACACAGCAGGGAGGAAGGGAGGCCAGGTCCCTGTATGCCCTGAGCTCCTCAGGCCTCCTAGCCTCCCTGTCCTTGTGCCCAGCAAGTGTGTGGCTCTCCTGCCCATCACCATTCCAGCTTCTTTTGAAGCACCTATTTCAGACCACACTTAGAGAGAGCCTGGCATTAGCTCAGCTCCCTTCCTACAGCATTCCACGCTCCAACCCTCGCTCCACCAGCTGTGAGGCCTTTCTCCCTAAGCAACAGCTCCAGCAGGCCTGACCCGGGCAAACTGGAGTCACTCCTGTTTCTGACACCACAGAAACCACAGAGAGTGGTGGTACTAGGCCTTCAGTTTCAAAGTGAGACTGAGCCTGCTCTAACCTGTTGCTCCAAGGGGTTGGGAGAGCCACCAGGCTGCTTACCTTGTAGGGACAGCACAGGTGCCATGGAAGTCACCAGGCCTGGAAACCACCCCCTGCCAACTGGGCCAAGTGGTAGGGACCAGCAGCCCCAAGCCTGGGTTCCTTGGAGGCGCAAAGGCTGGGGCTCCCTATGATACCTCAGTGGCACCTCGAGCTAGGACAGTGTTTGAAATACAACTGTCTTCAGCCCCAATGTCCACTGCACCCAAACAGCATCCCTAGCCAACTGTCCTGAGACTGCACAGAGGTCAATCAGCCAGTGATGTCCTTTGGTCTCTACTAGATCACACAGGTAAGACCAGGTACAGGGACCCTTTGTCTGATTCTATTTTTTGAGATGGACTTATTGTATTTTAGGCTCAATATGGACATGTAATCCTCCTTCCCCAGCTTCCAGAAAAATGAGATGATTTGGGGGGGGGGGTGTCCATCATGCCCAGCCTTAGGCTTTTTGTCTGTTGCTAAAGTAGCAACTCACCCAGCCCAGGCTAGCCCCAGTTTAGATGTGTAACTAAGACTGACTTTGATCTGACACCTTCTCTTCCTATCTTCAGGGATTACAGGTAGTGCCACCGTACCCAATTAGACCTAGGATTTTTCTCCAGGGTTTCTTACCCTGGAGTGTTCACTCTCCCCGTGTGCATGGAACACAAACGGGCAGCTTTCCTGGCTCCTCCTTCAGACATGCTCCATACCTTCCACCTTGGGGCCTTCAGCCAGCTGTCCCCTGCTGCAAGGCAGGTCCCTCCAGATTCACAAGGAGTCAAGTGTTATGGCACTCCAGCACTCAAGAGGGCTGGAGAAGGACAACTGCCTTTATTTAGAGGCCAGCTTCTGCTACATAGTCATTTCCAGATCCACCCAGGCTACTGAGCGAGGCACTGTCTGGGGTGAGGAAAAAAGGCAAGTAAACTTGGGCAATTTAAACAGTGTTGGCATAAGCCAACAGGACAGAAGACTTCCAGTGCAGATGAGTACTTCAGCATCAAGTAGAAAGACAGTCTCCACAGCACACAGCCACATGTCCACAGGTAGTGGACTGCCTCAGTCCCACACACCAACTCAGCCCAAATGCCCATAGTCACAGTGTGAAAGCCTACAACAAAGTTTCAGGGGAAAAAGACAAAGATCACAAAGCCTGGGGTGGCCAAGATTTCTTAAGCAGAGTACAGAAAGCATGAACACGAGGGGCTTCTTACCCAGTATGGTGGTATGTACCTATAATTCTAGCACTGAGGATGACGAGGTGTGAGACTGAAAGGCTGACGGCCACCCTCAGCTACACAGGGAGATGGCGCCTCAAAAGTCTCCTGCCAGTTACCCTCAGAGCTCCACACACGCCACATACCCTCCCACCCCTGCCACAGCCCAAACAACAGGGACTGAATCAGCATAAAAGGCAAGAACTTGTGTTGGTAAAAAGGCAGTCACATTGTGCAACATGACATGTCCAACAAAGGAGTGGCCATACCACACTTAAGCTCTAGGAACTCCTAAGAAAGGCAACATGGGCGAAGGGAATGGCTCAGCCGGAAAAGCATGATCTACGAACATGAGGACCCCCCAAAATCTCCAGAAACAGCTGAGCACAACCCAGCTCGGGAAGAGACAGACAGACGGGGGGGGGGGGGGTCCCTGGCCAGGTGGGCTAGCTGAATTAATGAGCACCAGGTTCAGAGTTCTTGTCTTTAAAAATAAGGTGGAAAGGCCAGGCAGTGGTATCACACACCTTTAATTCCAGCACTCGGGAGGCAGAGGTGGATCTCTGTGAGTTTGAGGCCAGCCTGGTCTACAGAGCAAATGCCAGGACAGGCTCCAAAACCACAGGGAAACCCTGTCTAGAAAAACCAGAAATAAATTAATAATAATCAATAAGGCAGAGAACAATGAAGACACCAAGGTTGTTCTCTGTCCACCACCTGCATGCATACACACACACATACAAGCCCAAATATATATACATATACAGACATACAAAGTGCAAAATAAAAGACAAAACAGGCTGGAGAGATAGCTCAAGGGTTAAGAGCACTGCCTGCTCTCCCAAAGGACCGCAGTTCAATCCCCAGCAACCACATGGTGGCATACAACTGTCTGTAATGAGGTCTGATGCCTTCTGGAGTAGAGGCAGACATACAGAGTACTCATACACAAAATAAATAAATCTTTAAAAAAAAAAAAAAAAAGAAAGAAAAGAAACGGCTCTTCACATAAGGATAAATCAATCACACCAGGTGTTGACGGTGCATGCCTGTAATCCCAGCACTCAGGAGGCAGAGGCAGGCAGATCTCTGAGTTCAAGGTTAGCCTGATCTACAGAGAGTTCCCAGGACAGCTAGGGCTACACAGAGAACCCTGTGGGGGAGGGGGGGATAAATCACAATAAGTAGGAGACACTAATGCTCCTGAGACACCATCATGCCCATTGGGGCTGACCAAGCTAAATAGTAAATGAGGCTGTGGAGGCAGGGTACCTCAGCCACCACCACCAGGGACACCAACTGGCACAGCCACTTGGGGAAAGCCACGGTGTTGGCAGAAATCATTTCTAGGAATACACCCAACAGAAATGAAAACACATGCCCCACAGAAACTTAATGAAACATCACTGTGACAGTATAAAGAAAAGTCCCCAAAGAGGCAAGTGCTGTAGTCTCAGCACCGGGGAGGCCGAGACAAGAGCATCCAAATAAGACCCTCTCTTGGGGGCGGGGGCACTAAAGCAGAAACCACCAAATGCTCAACAGCAGGCAATCACTAAGCCAGCTGTGGGCCAGTGTTTGCACTGAAAAGCACACAAAGCTTCAACACTATTGGGGCTGGAGAGGCAGCTCACAACCACCTCTAACTCCAACTCCATGTGCATGCACACACGCACGATTAAAGATAAATGCACACGGCTCAAGAGATAGCTCAGTGGCTAAGAGCACTAGTTGCTCTTCTAAAGAACTCGGATTCCATTTCCAGCTCCCACATGGCCTTTCACAACTGTCTGTAACTCCAGTTCCAGGAGCTCTAGAATCTTCACACAGACATACACTATAAGCAAAACCCCAATGCAACGTAAAAAAGTGAATCTTAAAAAATGAGATAAATACATACACGGGGACTGGAAATGTAGCTTAGTGAGTAGAGTCCTGCTACCATGCACAATGCCCAAGTCCAATCTCCAGCACCACATAAAATAGGCCTGGTGGATCATGCCATGCCTATAATTCCAGTAGCCAGGAGGTAAGAGGCTCAAACATGAAAGCCATCCTCTTATCTAGCTAAGGCCAGGCTAGGCTAGATAAAACCCTATTCTCAAAAACAAAATCAGACATACAAACTGTGGAGAGGGAAGGCAGGGAGTGGTGAAATGCAGGTCTTCTGGGTCACTTTTCAGAGCACGGCCAGTCAAGCATCGGTAGGGAAGACTGTCTTACAGGGCCCTTCAACACCCTAGCAGACCCAACTGCCGTCCTTTGGCAGAACAGCAGCTTCCGGGTCACTAATGTGTGCTTTAGCACACAAGGATGCTACTAAGTACGTCCAGTGGTCTGTCTGCACCACATGACCATCACTGTCACCCTACGGCCAGGCTGTCACCCTGAATGGGACCACAGAGAACAGAAAGGAAATCCAGGCAGGCAGCTGGGCCTCACGCACCCACAGGAGGGATGGATGCGGCTGCAGCGCAGCACAAAGACCCCGGGCCTCACTGCTGACAGAATCAGAGTGAAGCCCAAGCCACCAGCTCGGAGCAAACAAACCTCTAAGAAAAGAGACTGCAGGTGGTGACAGCAGTAGGGGTGCCACTCAGCCCTTAGGGACTTCCTAAAAGCTCCTAAGTCTCTGTCAATTGGATCTGGATTTTCAAAACTATGACCTAACCTGCTCCAACCCATCCAGTGAGTCGCAGACTCACTGCCCTGGCTAGGTCCGGCCCACAGAGGCCTACCAGGCTATGGGCGCGCTGTTGCATACTCAGGAGTCTCTTACCTTGGGCGGGTCGAAGAGCTGCAGCAGGCGGCCGTGGCCTGGCCCCGGGGCCCGCAGCACCAGGCGACCCCGCTGCCAGCGTGCACCACTGTCCATGGCCGCCTCGTCCGCCAGGCTGTAGCGCAGCGCCGCCTCCTTGACCACTTCGGCTGGCGGCTCCCGCAGGCTCCAGGGTAGCAGCTTGCGGGCCGGTCCTGGCCTGGTAGTGGCAGAGGTGTCGGTGTCATTGGTGTCACTGGCGGCCCCCGGCAGCTCCCCAGCCGAGCGGCGGCGGAAGAGCTGGCGTAGGCCGCGGCGCAGGTGCTGCAGGGCGCAGGTGGGCCTCGGGCCCAGGTCCTCGGAGCTGCGTGCTTTGGGCAGCGCGGGGCGGTGGTGTGGGGCGGTGGCGCGGTAGTCGCAGCCCGGCGGCCCCGCGAGGCCCTCGCGCACTTCGCGGCAGAAGTGTCGCTGGAAAAGCTCGGCGAACTGCAGCGACACCAGGTCGGCGCGCGGTGGCTGTGGGTGCGCGCGCGCGAACAGCCAGTACTGACGCGCCAGCTCCCGCGCCGCCGCCGCCGCGTGCCGCTCACAGAAGTCGCTCCAGCCGCGCGGGGAGGCGGGCGACGCGGGGGCCGAGGACGTGCGGGAGGGCTGCACGGTGGGCCCGTTCATGGTGGAGAGCGAGGCGGGGCGGCCGAGCTGCAAGACAGGACAGAGAGCAGTGAGCCGGGAACGTCCCCGCCCCCACGGCCACCCCGGGAACCCCGCACGTGGAAACCAGCAGACCAGAAGGCGGGCAACGTAGAGCATACAAGGTGGATACAGGAGGTGGACAGGATGCACCAGAGAGGAGCAGCCTCCTCCAGAGGGACTCCGGGAGCTCAGCGCCACTCAGAGCCATGCGTGTGGGGGTTTCCAGGATTTTCCATGTAATATTTTCAAGCCTCAGTTGACCATGGGGAGTAAGATTTTGGATGAGGGGAACTTCCCATCAGGAAGCAGGCTACTCACAACACACCTAAAGTAAAACCTGACCAGGACACCTAGGGCTGCTAAAGACTAAAACACCGGCACTTCATTCACCTATGGTGGGTTCTGTGAATCAGTACAACTTCTTTAAGAGGACAGTTTAACAAGAGTAATTTTAGATCCCTTCCCCACAGCTAAAGGTTTTCAAGGTAGACAGTTGCTCATAGGCCCAGAGCCCTGATCACAGCTCCCTGCTATTGGTGCCAACCCTCACTAAGCACACAGGGGCACTGGGTCTGCATTGTAGCAGGAGGCAATCTGTCACCTCCTCCAGAAGCCCCAAGGCCACTCCAAAACCAGACCCAACAGTCCACCATGTACGAGCCTATTTACGCAGTACACAAACCAAGGCTCTCTACAGCTAGTTTTTTGTTTGTTGAGGCAAGGTATATCTCTGGAACCTGTCCTGGAACTCGCTGTGTAGACCAGGCTGGCCTCAAACTCACAGAAATCCACCTGCCCTTGCCTCCCGAGGGCTGGGATTAAAGGCGAGCACCACCAACGCCCAGCTCTATGACTAGTTTTTACCGGTACAGTAATACATCTAATGGTGGTCAAGAAAGGCCTAGCCAGCAGATCCACCCTGAACTAGTAGGCTGCGGGGGCAGTTTGGAGTGCAGGGAAGCTCTGAGATAGCTGGTTACTACTCATCTCCAGAAAGCATGGCTGGGAACAGACTCCAGCCCCATTTCTCACTAGGTTAGTTACATCTGTGATCCTGAGTGTCTCAAATGATGTTCCACCTCAGCTTCCCATGTTAATTACAAGCCCAGAACCGGGAAAAGTTCAGTGTGACTGGCTGCTGTACTCATTTAAATGTTACAGCAAGCATGGTGACAGTCACACTGAAGACGAAATGCAACCTGTACTAACCAGACCCATAGGGATGTAGGCATCTCTAGGCCTGATGGAGAACTCAGCCAGACGCAGGTGTAAGACAACCAAGAAAGATGTCAGTGGATCACCACTGCACTGTCCTTGAACAAGATAAGCATAGAGGAGCCAGGCACAGGGACATCCCTGAAGCTCACACAGCCTGAGTGAACAGGATCACCCAGTTTGCCTGTCACAGGCAGCCTATTCCTTTCTGGCTCCTGGTTTGTACTGCTTACTATGTGCAAAGCACCTTATAGTATGGTATGCAAAGAACTGACAAAGTGCAATATCTACCAGGAAGTACACAGGCTTCTACACTGGAGTTGAAGTGACCTGCCAGGTTCTGGAAATGGCGGGCCACCCTTACTTGTTTATCCTGGGTCTTGCAGTGCACAAGCCACAGAGGAGAAAGTGCTTGTATAGTAGGTACAGTATAAAGAACCCCATTTCTGGGCCCACCTGCTCCCCTGTAGTTCTGGCAAACTTTTTTTTGGTGATTTACTAATTTTTACTTTATGTGCATTGTTGTTCTGCCTGCATTTATGCCTGTATTCGAGTGTCACATCACTTTGAGCTTGGTTACAGACAGTTGTGAGCTGCCATGTGGGTGCTGGGAATTGAACCCAGGTCCTCTGGAAGAGCAGCCGGTGCTCTTAACCGCTGAGCCATCTCTCCAGTCCCTGACAAACATTTAATGGGTTGGAAATTGAGGTTGCGAGAAATGCAGTCTAGTGTCCCTGGCCACACAATCAGTGCCTGGTCCTCTTCTCAGTGAGCTCTGGGAAAACAGGTTGGTTTGCTTGAGTTAATTTACTGTGCAGCCAAGGTTGATCCTGAACTATTTTTTGTTTGTTTGTTTGTTTGTTTGTTTTTCGAGACAGGGTTTCTTTATGTAACAACCCTGGCTGCCCTGGAACTTGCTCTGTAGACCAGGCTGGCCTTGAACTCACAGAGATCCTCCTGCCTCTGCCTCCCGAGTGCTGGGATTAAAGGTGTGCACCACCAATGTCTGGCTTGAAGTTTTGATCTTCCCTGGACTTGGATTACAGGCACATGCCACCACATCAGCTAAGGTTTAACTATCCTGCCTGTTCACACTGTTGTATCCCTGGGGCCGACTGCAGTGCCTGCCTGGTACACAGCAGGCCCTCAGGATATTGTGTGGAATGACTGAGGAGTGGATGGAGTGGGTCTTGTACACAGGTCCCTGCAACTCGCCCCAGCCTTGGTCAGTGCTATATCCCCACACACCAGGCCTTGACCCAGGAGAGGCAGTCTCAGCCTTCATGGCCTGGATGATCCACAAGCTGAGTATACATATCATAGCTCTGGCCCCATCTGCACACTGTAAGGGCACTGGGCTGCATTCTTGCATCTAATTCCCTAGACCTGTCTGTTTTCATAACATCACAAAAGGAGTACTGAGTCTCAAATCTGTCCTCAGCAATGGAGGCTTGTCTAAGGCCCTGGGACCAGGGTACACCTGCTCTCCTCCATGTTCTGCCACAGCAGGGGCTCGATGAAACACACAAAGACTTCAGTTCTTACTACACAGCCCAAACTGGATTTGGGTATATCATCCTTCTGCAGACCTGGCCTGGCATGAACAAAGAATTTTTTCCTCTTGACATGGCCTCATGTAGCCCAGGCTGGCCTCCTCCTGTCTGGGTTTACAAACATGTACTGGGTTTCTGTGGTGCTAGGGATGGAGTCCAGGCTTTCCACAGACTATGTAAAGCGGCTCTACCATCTGAACTACACCCCAGTCTGTGGATAAACCAGATACACAGATGCCTAGTGATTAGCATCACCCATTAGGCACCATATTGTCTAGCCTGCCCTCTGAGCACCCTAGGCTCTATCCATACCTGCCCCTTTATCTGGAACTTGTGCCTATCACATTGTATATCAGGGTCCAGAAGCTCAGCTACAGAGGCAGACCCTAGCAGGACCTTCCACACTCCCTGCTAACCAGGTCCAGCTGTGGGCTCACTCCAATACCCTCTCACAAAGGTGACACTGGCCACATACCCAACTCTCTTAGGCCCTGGCACTGTTCTGACCACTTCTTCAAAGATTAAACTCTAGGCATCACAGAACCCCTAGGGCGCAGGAATGAAATCACAGGTGACCAGTGCAGCATTCACCTAGGGAACTCCAAAGAGCCCAAATGCACCCCAACAACTAACTTGCTTCCTACAGCCTGTGGAGTGCTGGAAATGTGAAGGACTGTTTTAGCTCTGCTCAACTGAAAAGTGACAAGCAGCCCTGCCACAACCCACACCAACCAACAGTCTAGAAACAGTCACAGTGTACAAAGAATGCACATCCACTCTGGCTCAACTCCAAGCTCCCTGAATCTTCACTAGCTGGGTGCCCAGGTTAAAGATGGGAAAATTAAGGCGTGGGAGGTGGGTTTGCTCAAAGTCCCACAGCCATCTGGAGGGATAGGTAGACCCCATCCGGCCTGCACACAAGCAAGGCTGGAGCCAGGAATACTGTGTACCATCCATCTCCACTACTCTGAAGCGCTCCTGCAACGCCCATGGTCCACTCAGAGCCAAGTGCCCCCAGGTGCCTCTGCAGCTGGGCAAGGCAGGCTGGCACACCAGTCTCAGGTCAAATCCCACCCACCCCAACTCCAACACGGGACACTGAGGACACTCCTGAAGGGAGAGAGGTTCCCTAGGTCCCTATCCCCACAGCCCTAGGAACTGCCTCCACCTAACCCTTCCCAGAGGTAGCAGGGCAGGCAGGCAAGCATTAATAGGTACCTGCAGTGGTACTCTAAGGGCTGTGGTACTTTGGCAGAGGCTGGAGAAAAGAATGACTGTGCTGCTTGTCCCTGACACTTAGAAGGGCAGAGGAGGTGAGTCAGGCTGCCCACTTTCAAAGCCCAAGCCTCAGGAGGAACCCAGTTCTGGGTCAGGCAGCATGGGTGGCATTGCTGTGGAACACAGGTGGTCCCTATGCCCAGGTGACTGCAGGCTGGATGGCCAGGGAGCTAGGCAGCAGGAAGATGTCCAGTCCAATGAATGAACACTTTCCAATGTGCTAGGAGATGAAACACAGCTGCTCAGTTGTGAGCTATGAGAAGGCAGGAACAGAGCTCAGCTCCAGGAGACCCAGGTTCAACTTGTAATGGGCTCTATCAGTATGGCTCTCCTCTCCTGCCTTCTCCACAGAGAAGATACAGCCTCAGCTGCCCACCTGGGCTCAGCCAAGGTGACAAGAAAGAAGAGCTGGGCCCTGGGGAGATGGTTTCCCCATCCCTAAGTGCCCATGGCAAACTAGCAGGGCAGCAGTTAGCTCCCTGCAGTCAGCAAGGTGGGTGGCATCTCTCAACACCCTCATTGCCCCCAGACAGCCTCAGGCAACCCAGACAGGCAATGCTGGTACCTAGAAGCTGCATCTAGGTTGGTGCTCCTGCTCAGGCACAGTCATCCAAGAACACAGTGGACCTGTCCAGTCAGCAAGAATGCTGGAAGGGACTCTGTGACCACCCCCAGTTAATGACTGCAAAGACAGCCCAGCAGCCTCTCAGCCTGACCACCACTTCCATGTCACAGGTGCAGAGGACCCCTGGAACACTCCACCTGCCAGGCCATGGAGGGCTGCTCAGTGTGTGTACCCAAGAATTGTGCCTGTCCCACCCCTAGATCCTGGGACAGGAAGCCCCATACCACCCTCTAAAGGCTGCCTCCTCCAGGGAGGCCTCTAAACTGACTCTATGTTTCAGAGTTGAGAAGACCCAGTCTCATACCTTACACTCTGGCCTACAAGAAGCAGGCTGCAAGGGAATCAGCTTGGCCCTGGGAGGCTAAGGCTAGACCACTTGACAGCCAGCAAGACCCATCCAGGAGTCAGCAGGCTGGCCCAATCTGCAGAACAGGAAGTATCGCCTGGCTTCCTCTGCCTTGACTCCCATTTGCACCACACCCCTGGCAACTTGATACTCCAGACAGCTACTACCCCAAGAAGACTCCAAGAGGTGGGGACTAGCACCCAAGAACAGTGTGCCAGACAGGGCTTCCTTCACCAACCTCAGGGTTGACAGTGGCAGAGGTGGTGGCAGATGTCTCTCGCTATCAGGGAGAGCCTCCCTATCTCCTGAACTGTCTGGGGCTTTAAAAGAAACACACTGACAGCCTCTGGCCCTTGTGTGCCCTTCCTGCCGGGATGACCCCTTGGGACTCTATGGAGATGGCACCAGGGTAGGTTCTGAAAGGCAAGTCTACCTCCTGCATCAAGAGGCCATTTTGAGCCCCCACCCCTAAGTCTAGGCCCTCCCCCAGTCAGCTGCTGTGAGTCAGCCCCACAAGCAGGGCACACACTTCCTCCCTCCAGGCCTCCTTGGGGACCAAGTTCACCCCCCTCAGCCGCTGGGGGCACATCCGGACAGGCCCCAAGGGGCTCCAGGCCTGGCTCACAAGGAAGCCCGGGGACTGGCCCCCCTGCCGACCCTTGACAGGGTTGTGTGGGAGGAAAAATCTTTCAACCATCTGCTCAGCTGCTGGGTTTCCGGCTGGCCAGGGTGGGGCAGGCCATAAGGTTCCTTAGGGACCTGTCTCTTATCCGGATGAGACATGGGACACTGGGATAGAGAGTCCAGTGGTGGTCAGTGGGACCCCAGAACACTGACCAAGAGACACTGGTTGTCTAAATCATGGGGCTCAAGCAGGTGGTGCTGAACAGTGGCCAAGGACATGCAGCCAGGTCTGAGACCTACCCAGTCCCTGAGGGACCTCAAGCCCCCGGAAACTGGGAGCTGGGGTGCAGGGCTCCTGGGTCCAATTAGACATGACTCAGCCAGTGACCCCCACTGAGTCATTTCCTCTAGGCAGCCTGCCAGCCTCAGTTTCCTTGGGGAGGATGGGTGGGAACAGGCCTAGCAGGAGGGAGCAGCCCCTCCAGACACTCCAGATGGAAGCTGCTTCTTGCCCTGCCCCGCCCAACCAGAGATGCTCAATACCCAGAGGCTCTAGGGACCGTTTTCCCAGGAAGCCTGGCAATTAAGTACCAACCACCCCATCCCCAGATTAATAGCTGTAGCTTAAACTCATTCACCTCATGCCTCCCTCAGAACAACTCTGTCCTCCAACACCTGCACTTCAGAGCTCTGAGAACACTTGTAGCTCAGAGATGTTAAAACACAGGCCAAAGACCTCAGAGCTAGCATGGTTACAACCAACCTAGTTAGAATGCCTACCCTTGAAAGGCTCCTACATGGCACACAGTCATCCTAGAGGGGCAGAGACTTGATCAACACTGGTACCTTGCCTAGGGCCTCACCCCTGAAGCTAGCAGCCTGAGTCTCTCCATGTGTGCTGCCCCAAAGAGAAGTAGGGATGTGATAGGAAAGGCCTCTCGTTGCAACAATACTATCTGCTCCATCTCTGTGTATGCCATACTCCACAGCAGTTAAAACCCTTCCCACTCCTGATGACTTCACTGCCTCAGGGAGGTTAAGTGACCACCCAAAGATTCACAGCAATGGGAGATTCAAAAGCCGACTAGCCTCAGAGGCAGACTGGACCCTATAGGTCCTGGACCCCAAAGGCCTGCTCTGCAAAGGGTATGATATAAGCCCAGGCTGGGGGCAGTTAGTTTCCTGTGAGGCTACCAATGCTCTCCATCAGTTACTCATGCTAGAGAGGGCACCCTAGGTCAGGAAGCACTTCCATCTCTGACCCAGAGGAGGGAGACTAGAGGTAGCCACCTGAATGAGGTACCCTGAGGTACACAAGCTGCCTGCCCAGCCCAACTGCTCAACTGACCTCACTGTCTAAGACGGTTGTCTCCTGAATAGGAAGGACCAGGCACTGGGTGACAGACTTGGACGCTACAGAGTCAGGAAGGAACAGGAGCAGAAATGACCTCAACAAAACAGACTCGAGCCATTCTGTCTGCGCTCTGGTGGTCATCACAAGTAGGTGTCAAGTGAGGAAACCAGGAAGGGGCTGTCACCTGACTGACCCTGCCCAGGTCCTTTAGAGTTCCCTGCCCAAAGATTTGAGAAGCCCCAGAGCAGCCAATGCTCAGGAGAGCTAAGGAAGGTCCCATAACAAGGGTTCACAAAACAGGATGGTGTGAAAATAGCATGTAATTGAGGTCTTCTCCCTGCCAGCCCAGGCACAGGGGTTTTCCACACACAAGGCCTCCTTCAAACTGCAGATGTCTTATCACTTAACACGGGAGAAACTGAGGTACAAAGCAGAGGAGGAAGAGTACAACTTCTGCCTCTAGGACCCTCGGTTTCCTCCTCTGCCACTGCCCAGACCTTGAGGGACCCAGACCACAGCTGCTGCTGCTTTGGGCCAGCCCCTTCCCAGCTGGCCACCCCACAAGCTCCAGAATGTATATTCATTCACCCCTTGCCCAAATGGAGTCCCCTCCCAGAGGGGCCTGTGAGACAAGGCTCAGAAATTGTCCTAAGCCTGTAAAACCCTTGCAACTTCCCCAGTGGCCCCTGGCATGTCATGGGCCTGCTCCGCCACGACCTCTGCCTGCTTTCGCCTTGAGGGAGCCGTAGGCCACCCCTATAGACCACCAGGGCCGTTTTTGCTCCGCCTGTCAGGTCCAGTGACACACGTGTCCACACACACACACACACACACACACACACACACACACACACACACACACCGCCACCCCAGGCAGGGGCCAAGCACGCTGTGTCCCCGGGGCGGCTCTCGGTTCCTCCCGCGGCGCCCCGCCAGGCCCCTCTCTGGAGGCCCCAGCTGCAAGCACTGACCTCCGCGCCCACATCACTGCGGTCTGGGATTGGGGAAGAGAAACAGAATGAGGAAACGCCAGAAAACAGAAGCGGGACGCGGGCGGCCGCCCGGTTCCTCCAACGCGCTCGGCGGGCCGCGCTTACCGCGCAAGCTGCGGGTCGGGGCCCGGCCGGCCCATGGCGTCGCACGGCCTCTCGGCGCTCAGGCAGGAAACCCCGGCTCGGAAAACGGCCAGCGCCTCATTTCCGCCGCCAGCGCCTGACAGCAGCCGGGGGACGCGGCCCCGGGCCGCCCCCGGGTCGCTGCTGCTGTGGACCCCGTGGCCCGTGACAGTCTAGGCGGACGGGCGGCCGGGAGGAGACGACGGCCCGAGCCCATGCCGCCCCGCGCCGTTATGTAAAGAGGAACCGGCGGCGAGCCGCGCGCGGCAGCCGAGGGCGGCTTGAGGGCGGGGCCACAACGAACCACGCCCCGTCTACCGCCAGCCGCGAGCCCAGGGGCGGAGCCTATTCCGGCCCCGCCCTCCCCAGCAATCCGCCCCCCACCCCCAAGTCGCGTCGTGCCCCCTAAAGGGAAGGGAATCGCCAAGGGGAGGAGTGTGCTTGGCCCCGCCCCTCTCGCGCCGGCCAGTCACCGCCTCGGCGGGGCGGGGCCTGGCGCGCTGTGGGGCGTGGCCGCCCGACCTTCTGGACCTCGTGGGGGCGCGCCCCTGCGGACTCCCGGAGCCGGCCTTATCTGCGCTCGTCCGGCGGGCTCTAGCAACTGCGACCGCGGCTTTCATCACCTCCCGGGGAGGGGGCCCAGCCCAGGCCTGGCCCCACTATCGGCGGCTCCGTCAAGCCGACCCGCCTCGGCCGCGCCATCCACTCGGGTTCCGCTCCGGGACTAAGGCCCGCCTAGTCCCGGAACGGGCCGAGTATGCTATTTTCTACCTGGCCGCCGGACCGCTCTCCAGCTTGTTGCAACTTTCTCCAAGAACTCCTCCTCACCCTAGGCTACCGAGCCCGTTGAGCGTCCACATCTGCTCGCCCCTTAGCCCTTTACCTTTTCTCTATCGCCTCATGGGGGGTGCGGCTAACAGTGGGGTGCCCCTGCTCTGAAGCGGAGTCACTGCGCGCCAGGCTTCCCCGCGACACTAGGGAGGGAGGCTAAAGAGGAATGCCTGTCCCCTCCCCCTCCCCCAACAGGAAACAGGCCGCCCACGCCCCCCAGCTTGGAGGGGCCACTGCAAGCCTTCCCGGACGACAGGCTCCCACGAGCCACTGGCTCCCTAGAGCCCACTACCTCCCCCTTGCTGCCTGGGACCAAATACTTGGCCTCTCCAACTCAGTTTCTTCATCTATGAAATGAAAATAACACGTGTCCCCAGCCCACTCTGGGACTGGAAAGAGTGAGTTAACTGCATTTGAGCAGTTTAACCAACCGGACTTCAGTCCCCCGGGCCTGCCGTTGGAGCCCCAGGAAGGGACTCCCCCACAGGTGGGGATTTCCACTACAATCGGACGGCAGCGAGCAGGGGGTGGGTGGCCGAACGGCTTGGAAAAAGCCACAAAAACGTGCGAGGGCGATACCTTCTACGTGATCGGTACTGTGTTTGTGGACACCAGTTCGTGATTCCCTGGTGGAGGCGGCATGCTGGTTGTTGATGTGGGGCGGCTGACTCTGGGACTCGGGAAGAGAAATATTTGAGTAATATTTAAGCGGAGGTCTCCCTCAAGAGGGAAGCGTCTGGGCATGATGAAGTTTGAAGGAAAGGCATTCTGAGCCGAAGAAACAGCCAATGCAGAGCCCCTCGGGAGCCTTGGTAGTGTGGAAACGATCCCGCCTGTACACGTTGACTTGTTCGTGCTGTCTTGAGGTCTTGGTGCAGTTTGTTTGTTTCCTTTAGGAGGGCACTGGGGAGCCATGAAGAAGTGTGAGGAAGAGAAGGCCCAGCAAAGCTCTGCCACAGAGCCTGGGGCTGGTGTCCCCAATCGGAAGCGTCCCCTGGAAGGACGCAGTGTCTAAGCAGGAAGGAGGGCCTTCGGTGAGGTGTAGCCTGATTGGCCCGGCACACACCCCGTACAACACCTGGGCGAATGCTGGGTAACTGCAGCCTGGCTGTGGCCAGGATGCGCGCGCGGAGCATCAGGTACTGGCAGCCTTTGCCAAATGGTGGCTGCAATCTGCCAGCCGCAAGCACTTTCCCTCTCGCAGCCGACTGCAGCCCTGCTGAGTTAAATGGGGACTTGTGGTTCTTCCTCTTTTTAATCACAGGCCAGCCCTGCCTGCCAGATTTCTCCGAGGCCCAAACCTGTTTCCTTCCTCGCTCAGCTTCTCGTCCCGCGGGCCCGCCCCAGTCCGGGTTCCCTGAGAGCCCTGCGCTGTCAGAGTCCTCTGTTTATTTACGTTTTTTGTTTTTGTTTTTTTCCTTCGAAGGGCTCCAAGGCCATTGCTGCTGCGCCCCACATGAGACCCTGCGGTGACAGCAGCGACTCTGGATTCTGTGCCCCTGGGATCGAGCTCCTCCCACCCAGCCGGGGAGACCGATACGCCAGTCCCCACAGCTGGCGGGGACTGCCGGAAGCTGGCTGACCACTCCCAGGGACCCAGCCACCCGCCCTTCCTTCCTGCTGAGGGCAGGCAGCGGCACGGGGTCCTTCTGCCTGGGACCCAGGTGGCCTGGTCAGAAGGACAGCTGAACCTAGCCTAGCAGGTTCGCCAAATCAACAACACAATATCAGCCAGGTGTACTGAGTAACAAGGATAGCATTTAGAGGCTGAGACAGGAGGATGAGTTCAAGGGGTACCTAGTGCTGGAGACCTTCCTCGGTCTTCATAAGACAAGTCTCAAATCCAACAAACCCAACAATACCTATGAAAGTTAACCAGAGCCAAGAAAGTATTAATGAGTCAATGATCTAAGCCATTCATATTGTTAATATAAATAGCAACAAACATTCACCAGATAGGACCTGGGGGATGGCACGATAGGTAAAGTGTGCAAGCATGAGGATCTGAGTTCAAGGCCCAGCATCATATAAAAGGCAGGCAAGGACCAATGGGACTTGTAGGTCAGCCAGCCTAGTCCCATCAAACTGGTTAGTTTGTTGAGATACTCTCCAAAAAAATAAGTGAACAAAAAGAAAAAGAAAAAAAAAAAAAGGCATATATGTCCAGTGCCTTTACTACCAGCACTTGGATTGTAGAGGCAATCTGAATTTGGGGCCAGCATGATCTACAAGGAAAATTCCAGGCTAACCAGAGCCACATAGTAAGTATATCAAGAAAAATGAAGTGATGGGCTGGAGAGATGGCTCAGAAGAGCCCTGACTGATCTTCCAAGGTCCTGAGTTCAATTCCCAGCAATCACATGTGGCTCACAACCGGCTGTCAAGAGATCTGGTGCCCTCTTCTGGTGTGTAGGCAAATATGCAGACAGAACACTGCATATGCAATAAAAATAAGTAAAAAGAAAAAAGAAAAGAATGAAGTGAGAAATAGTAGACTGCTTGAAATGTACCCACTGGTCACAACCCCAGGGCTTGTAACCCAGTGCTAGATCCCTATCCTGCTTTTTACTTTTCATTAAAAATCATTTATTAAAATCTATTAAAAATCATTGATTTTTCCGGGCTAGCCTTTGACTTAGTCCAGGAAGGCCTTGAACATTAAACCCTTCTGAAATAACAGCCTGTGCTGCCAAGGTTGGCTTTGCTTTTGGGTTTTAAGACAGTTTTGCCAGGTGGCCTCAAAATTTTGATCCCCCAGCCTCTGCCCCCCAGTGCTAAGGGCTCATAGATGTGAGCCTCCAAACCCACCTTGTACTTAGCATTTCTAACGTTAATTAAAATGTACTGCTTAACCTAGCATGATGGCTGGACTCTGTAATCACAGCACTCTGCAGCAGAGGCAGGAGGATAACCTTGACACCAGGCTGGCCTCTAACTCACAGAGATCCCCCTGCCTCTGCCTGCTGAGTGCTGGGATTAAAGGCATGCGCCACTACACCTGGCTAGAATTTCTAAAGGTACATTTTAATTGTTTTTTTGAGACAGAGTAGCCCAAGCTGATCTGAAACTCTTGATTCTCCTGCCTCAGCCTCCCCAAGTGCTAGTGTTACAGGACATGTCCAGCTGTCAAGCCCAGTTTCTTTTTAGACTTCAACTTCCTTCGTGACCTTGAGTCACAGCTGATCAAACTGCACCTGAATTATCAAAACCATGAGACGGGTGTTTCCTAGCAGACCAGAGATGGGGGAGGGGTTGTCATTACACAGCAATTGTTGGCTAATCCAGAGCTTCAGAGGCTCCCAGAGAGTTCATCTAAACTGTTCCTCATACACTGGATTCAACTGTGGCTGAAAGGGCTCTGGAAAGCAGCCTCAGCATAGCTAACACTTCAGCTGGGGCCTCTCTTCCAGGCACACACTCAGAACGCCTAAGCCTGATTCCTGAGCTGTGGGTCTGTCTGATCTGCTGAGCTCAGGGGCCTGGCACTATCTTTTCCCTCTGTTTCCTCTCTAGGGCCTGGGTTCCCTTTTCTGCGCTCACTGCCCCTTCCATGTGAAAACTGTCCCCAGTCCTTGCTCAAGACAAATATAATAGTCAGGCCTCATGCTGAAAATTCGGTCTTCCTGGCTAAGGCCATGCCTGCCATGAAGGCAGGACTGTTTGTTCGTTTGCCCTATGCAGATGAGGAAGGCTGAAACCCACGTGGCCTGACCAAGGTCACACCGATGCTGAGGGGCTGAAGCAGCAATTCTGGACTCCTGACTAGAGTGTTTTTGGAGCCCAGGGCTCCCTCATCTACTGTACCCAGCGCCAGAAATAAAGACAACTGTAGGAGAATAACTAAGGATGTGTTTATGCTTGTTTTGAGACTGTAGCCTAGGCTGTCCTGCAACTCACTAAGTAGACCAGGCTGACTGTGAACTTGTAGCCTTCTGCCTGAGTTTCTGGGTTCACGGGTATGTGCCATCTGGCCTAGGTCATGTGGAAACAATTTTGAAGGTTTTCCACAAAGTGACAATCTGCTTGGCCTCAACCATATGTTGGAGAAGGGGCCCACTCCGCTCCACTTGGCAGAGGAGGAAATCGAGGCACACAGACGCAAGTGCCCTCGCCAAGCCCCACAGATCTGTGGAATGGCCAGCAGGAACCTGCTCCCTGCTGGCCACGGTAGGTTCTGGTCTTGGCTTCGGCCCAATCCCGGCCAGCACAAGGTCGCAGGGAAGCGCAGTCGCCCCCTCTTCCGCCAGCCCTGGGAATCTGGTTAGTGGGGAAGTGACTCAGTGCCCTGAGGCCCCGCGAGGCTCATCCACTTCCAATCCCGGTAATTATAGGCCCTAATTGCTCCGCAGCTGGGAGACTGGGGTCGCCTCCCGGATCCATGCACTGTGCTCTTCCTGGGCTGGAGCCTGGCAACAGTGACGGACACGAGGTGCGCGGGCCCT